CAGCCCTTCAGGCAGTACCTATTTGTGGTTTCCACCAACAATAAGAGGAGCCCAGCTGAGACTTCAGGGAGGGTGGATAAATCTCCCAAGAGTCTCATTCATGTTCCTGAATTTCAGAGAAACACACTAACTGTCCTCTGTCTTTATTAGGTATAAAGTAGTGGCAAAGGGCACTAGAGAGGTGCAGCCAGTCACTCCAAAGGTGATGGGAATGGGGATCATGGTGGCCCCAGTCTCTTCTAAAAGAAAGACACTCTACCTGGCAGCAGCCTGAAGGTAGAAAACAGACATCTTTACTCTCTTATTTATGCTTTTCTCATAGGATTGAATTGCCTTTTTTTCTCTCTGCCCTGATGTTAGTGTCTCCATTTAGTTTTTCAGCCAGATGCCCAAATTCAGCCAATTTTAACAGCAAGGCTGAGGTCTCAGAGAAAATTAAATTTCTGTACAATTCCTTGGGCATGTAAGAAGCTGCAGTGCTTCGGTAGGAGTATTGCATCTTATTGCTGTCCTGGAGAGGGACATCAAAGAACCCACACTTTGACAGTCTGAGGAGGTACAGTATGTGCTTGCTATCCAGTGAGGGTGTGCTGCCCCTTGCTCAGCCAGCAATCCTGTAGGGGCTTTTAAAAGAGTTGAAAAATTTGTGGGACAGTCACATTTTCAAGTCAACCTAAAGACTATTGTGCATAGGCAATATATCTTTTGGACTTCTGTCACAAAATGAATAGGAAAATAGTTCAATCTTTCACCAATTTTCACGGTCTTTTCCATAGCAGCCTTATTCCCTAGAGGAAGGGAGCCTTGCTCTAATAACTGTGTATGTACAAATAACCAAAAAAACATTTCCAGATGCTGTTTCTTAACAACTCACATCCACTGATACATATAAACATTGAAAGAAGTGGTACATTCTGGTTACTGAAGAATATATGTGTTTTGGTATTTAAATATCTTTGTGTAACGAATCTGAATAAAGCAGCATGGGGAGAAAGAAGAGATGAAAAACGTTGAGTGCTTAAACAGACTTTTGTGTCTCCTGGTCCTGCATTGCTGTATGTGGGTGTGTAATTTTATTTATTGGGAATATTATTTGTCTAATATTTTGTTGTCATTATTAAAATGATAGAAAATACTTCCTCTAAGAATTCTGGGTACCTCTTATCTGCATGAAGTATATATTCATTATATAAGTATTATGTTGCTTATTGCTGTAGACTGTCAATACAATACTTTCAGTTCCTCCTACATTCCCAACTATGAAAAGAATACTGATGGCCAATCCCCAAATATAAAACACCCTTCACCAATTCAGTAATGGAACAAAGCATTGTCCTTCCCTGAAAAGCATTCCAATGCATCCTACTCCCTCTAACTGCTTGCAGCAATAGTCTCTGCATGAGTATATATGTACATTTAAAAACTGTCCTTGCATGTGTACTTCTTTCATGATCTTTGCAGGCACAACCAGCACAAATACCAAGTAGTGCATGTTCTGACAGCACATTTGAGTTCTGGACATGGAGGTTTGTTATCCGCTGTCTCAGAATGTAAACATTGCCTGGGGAAGACTGCAAAGTGGCAGCACTGTAAAATCCTTCAGATGAAAACGACATGTTGATTTTGCTGCACAAGTCTGAGTGCATTTCACAACACATGCATGATGGAGACATGAAATCTTGCTCCTTTGAGGAAGCAACACTGAGTTTGGTGATGCCAACGGGGCAAACAATTGGATCCCACTGAATTGCAGGTAGTGGCAGCACAATACTTTTCCGAGGACAAACATGGGTCTTGTAGGCCATACAGTGGTGGAATAAGGAAATCTGCAAATGAGGGTTGCAGGCCTCCAATTTAATTTATGGGGATTGAACCGGGGAGATTGGTAGAACTCCATGCAGAGTCAGATCTCCATCTCTTCAAAATTACAGCATGAGGCCTTGAGGGAGGGATTTGTCTCACATGGTTTTCTCTATTCAAAAAAATTGATATTTAGCTCAACTGAGTCAGCAGAATATTTGTGGTTGTTGACAGAGACAAAATTTGCAATTGATGCCAATCTGAAATGGACTTATACTGAAAGTAGTTTGGGACAGGAATTCTACATTTGCTGCTGGAAGAGCCTACACTTTGTTTTCAGGCAACTACTTTGAAGTGAGATAAACTCCCTCTGAAGGGAACTCAGATCAGAACTGATAGGAGCAGATACCTTAAATCTTCTGGAAATATTATCTAATATCTGGGGTCATCTCAGATGTCTAATCGTCTTTGAAAACTGAGCTCTGAGCTCCTGTGCTTTCCACTTTTATTTGTTTCTTCAAAATGACTGGTTTTATGGGTGGGATTAAGTCACAGAAGTTGAGAGAGGCTGAAGATTTATGAACAGCTATGAAAAAGTTATGGGCCATAATGTTCTTGAGGTGGGGGGAGGCTACATTCGATGTTTCTACTTTTGCGCCTGTGATCTTGTGTAAGTTCATTCAGAAGGCCACAAATGAGAGTGTCAGTTTATAAGTCACCAGTCTGTGCAGTCAATTAATTGCTGATTAACTTCCACTGGCTGCCAAACAGGGTCTGGAAGTTGAAGATATAAAAATTTAAAGTCGTTTTAAATTTTTTGAAAAATTTTGCTTATTTTCCTGTATTAGGAATTTATATTGTGGTAGCAAAATTCTGAGCACTCAGAAATTCCACTGTTAGAGGTATTATTGATAATTGTTGAGTGTGTAAAGTATGCTTGGCACCCAACAAAAATTAATACAGATATTTTTACCTGCAGATGACACAAATATAAGAAACCTAAGCTGTACTAGTAAAAAAATCTAAAGCAACGTTTTCAGTAAGGTCCATGAGTAGGATATCTACTGTCTCCTGGAGGATTTCATGCAGGAGCTACTTAGCAAGGCCTTGCACATGGCAGGTCCTTAGTGTAAATAACTGGAATGTGTAAATCACTTTTTTGCCTACGGAAAAAGAGAGACAACAGAACAGTACAATGACCAAAGGGCCAATAGCCTTCATTTTAAAGGAAGGTGTTGGCTAAATTAAAAAAGATTGCTGTGTGTAGTCTGTCTGTTTAAAGGGAAGTTTAGTGCCAGATTATCAGTAATGTTTCATCCTGCAGTTACAGCAAGGAAAAGATGCTGGTGACACATATGTTTGGTGAAAGAAACCCAAGACTGACTTAAGAGGCAAAACAATGTAAACACTGAATATGAGGGAAAAAATGTGCAGCAAAACTCACACCCCAAGAATCTCAGTCCTAAGTGGGTCATTTGCTTATCCCACCAGTCAAACCTGACTCTACAGCAAAGCAAGCCACAGAAAGTCTCCTTTATTGATTCCATGATGCTTACTCAACTACAGGCCATCCCCCTTTTGGATTATTCTATTTTTAAGGCATATTTTCCATCTGTTCTTTGATCTTACACCACATAAGACATTTAGCTGATAACGTTATCCATCAAAAAGCGAATTTCCTTTAGAGTTCAAACACAGTCGGCACAGGACCCCGTCCATCTGCTGGCCAGTGCCTCTGAACAGATTCAGCTTGTGAATCGCCAGCTATGTTGCCTATTTTTTAATTAACCAGCTTAGGTCTGTGCTTCCTGTAAACACTGCAGGATGACTAGGGGTAACTCCACAGGGAAGGAAAATGCCCTCCTCTGTGGAAGCAGAGAAGAGGGTTTGATGCATCCAGAGCTGTGATGCGCTTGTGGTAAATGGGGTTGTCTAGTGGATGGTTTCTGCCTTCAGTCCCTCAGGAAATTATACTTCTTTTTTGCATAAACCACAATATTTTTATAAAAGGTTTGAAAGATTAATTTTTCTAAATTGGAATTCTTCAGAGAAAGGTGTGTAAAGCAGAAAGACAATGTTTTCTTCGGTGAGCAAAATTCTGAGTTTGAGAGAAACTTCAGAATTTCAGGGCAGGTTGTCTGAAGAAGCGGAATTTTATATAGAAAATGCTTGTCTGCTTACCCAACTGGAGAGCCAGGGAATGTCAGATGATTTAGATGACCAATTGTAGTGAAACAGTACAGCTTGAATTCAAAATATCTGAGATCAATCACAGTTAAAAAAAAATCTAAGAAAAACTTGTCAGGAAAAAAAAAGGAGATTAATGAGTAAGCCAGGAAAAAGGTAGATTTGCTATGGATATTTTCCCAGTGCAAACAGTTATCAAATTCTTTAAATCATTACTGTCAGATTCTTCAATTAGCTCTGTTACCTTGCTTCTCAGTGGTTTGCTTTATCCTGCCCACAGTGCATTTGTTCAGAAAGGAATTTGATTCAGGATTTATATTCCACTGGCTTGCATATACCACAGTGTAAGTATCTCCAGATCCAAAACAATAACAACAATTAAAAAAGCACCTACATTTCCTTCTATTTCCTGTCTTGCCAATAATAAGTCCCTGCAGAGGGGAGCTTGGCTGGTGGTGTTTTGTGATTTCTCAGATAACAAGAGCTTCACATTTCTGTGGAATTCCCATTTGCCAGTGAGCTGCTGCTGCTGCTGCCCTGATTGATATATGACTGCAATGGCACTTTTCCATTTGACATTCCCTCTCTCTCCCTCTCTCTCCCCCTCTCTCTCTTAAACAACAGCCCTAACTTTTGTGTGTTGCAAATATAAAAGGCAAGCCATGTGACAGAGGGACAGAAGAACAAAAGCATTTGGAAGTAACAGGACCTCTTTTTAGCTCTCTGAAGAGTTCAAGGGGAGGAAGGAGTGGTGCATTTACCAAAGGTAAGCACACAAATTAGAGATTCCTACAGATTTTGAGTATTACATGGACTTAAACTGGGTGCTTACTGTCTTTCTCTGACATACATGTTGTCCTTGTACCATTTTTTTAACTCTAGTGTGTCTAAATGGAATCGACACAGCTCTACTACCTGTGTCTCCTTTTCCTTCTACCTTTATCTCTTGTCCTAAGGATACCTGTAAGCAGTCAAATAGGTAGCCCAGGGTGCTTCTGAGCAACTTGGTTAAACATCAATTCTTGTGAGCATGCCGGGCTCCTGCCTGCAGCTCTGTGCTGCTCCTGGCTGTATGTCTTTGGAGTGAATGGACAGGCTGGACTCTGCCCTGAATTCATGGAGAGAGCGCTGGTACCGCCAACACCCTCTTTGTCACACTGCAACAGGGCTCTATGAGCACAGGCAAGCCAGTTAGTTTAAAGCCGGACTGTTTACTTTTATCACTCCTTACGCATGCTGTGCTCTTGCCAGTCATCTGCTGGAGTGCTTGGAATAATTTGAAACAACAGGCAACATTTATTTCTAGCTTTGTGTGTCACGCTTCGCGGGAGCACTCTTAATTTGCACATTATTATTTACCCAAACTTCTGCGAGGCTTTCCCTATGGGCTGGGCTGGTTGTGCATTAGGACAGATTTAACATACACTCTTGATTGGCTGAAACCTGTGAGGGAAGCCACGGTGTTTGCCTTTGCTGTAATGCCGAGGGGTATATTTAGTAGGTAGCCGACCCCGTCAGCGTGACACGTAATGCGGCGTGGCTGTGCAGCCGGGAGCTGACAGGGAGGATGCTGCAGGACCCCAGACCGCCAGCCGAAGGAGAGAGGGAGGCTTTCCTCCGTTCCCGGCAGATCATTTCCCTGTGTGTCACCGCCAGAGGCACGAGTATAGCTGTTCTCTGTTTCTTTGGGACAAAAGAAGAGTTTCACTGTTATGAGCCCAGTGACAAAGTGTCAGTGTAGTGGCACTGCGAGGCTCGGGAGCGGACACTGCCCCGGGGGATCCTGGCTGAGGAAGAGAGCCCCGTCTCCCTGCTGGGATTCAGGTGAGTGAATTCATCCTATAAAGGTTCAAATGAATGAGTCCAGTGGCAAATAACAGAGTAACAAAGATAAATCATGTACAGACCAATCTCAGTCCCGGGTTAGATAACTGCTGAAATGTGTGCTGGGGGGGCAATTCTCCTGTGGCAAATCTGAATTTACAAGATGGTGTATGTGTGGACTGACACCAGTCAGGGGGACTGGGGGGGGGACTGTCAGGCAGATTTCTTATCCTACCCCTCAAGTTCATTTAAAGGGGTCTCATAACTCCCCCATAACACGTCTTATTTGTTTCTGCTTGAGACAGATGGCATGGCAAGTAACCTTTTAAGGTTTCTGCAGCTCTTGAAAGATGAAAAAAATGTTTCCTATATGAAAAATGTTATGTACAGTTTCTAAGGCTTTGCAACTGTCCCAGTGGCTGAGAGGTAGGAACTCAGCATATTGAAAAAGGACAGGCAAATAACTATTTAAAACCAGTAGTGGGGACAATTCACTTGAAAGCAAATGATTATTTGAAACCAGCAATGGGGACAAATTAACTTCAAATCAGTTCCTTTTTGCAAAGTTACTTTCTAATAGAAGTAACCCAGCTGTCTAGTTTGGTCAATAAACGTGGATATAATAATCACAGTGCCGTTATTTGTCCCTCCTCAAAAGAATATAAGAATATCTACATTTCAGGACCTCTTTTTTTTTTTTTTTCCCTTTCTTTTAAGTTACTAGTGATGCTCAATGTTCATTTGTGCATAGGCTGTGTGGTCTTACTCATATCTGTGAGTAGTTATACACATGAATAATTCCCTGAACCTAAATAGAACTATTTGATGAGTAATTACTTACCAGCTTGAATTGGGGGTTCCCAATGTGACTTATACATACATGGACATGCTCTTGCTGGAATAATGAAATCTTACTTACGAAACTGGTACCATAAAACAGTGCTTTAAAGATTTTCCAGTTAAAAGCAAATCTGTGAGGAGTAGATGTTTCAAAGATGCGTTTACAAAGTAAAATGCAATCTGATTTAGGGGCAGGGTATAATCAGGAGCCCCAGATTCCCAGATCTTCGTTCGCGAAGCCTAGCCATGATAATCAGGAGCTGCTGCTGGTTAGTTACAAGCTCATTTCTCTACCTGAAGGTGTCCCACGTAGGTTTCCTGGGTTTGTGCAGCACCTGGTTTTGATCAGATGCCTGTATGCTGCTGACTTCCCCTTGCAGAGCAGGATACTTGCTATGGGTAGTCTTGTGTACAATTTGCAGTAGCAGTGCTCCAGGTAGCTGCTTATGCATGGCTGATTTCCACAAAAGCTACCTGTCCCACTGGAACAATCCCTCACCTGCCATTGAGGCTTGTGATAGCATCTGTATGTTCCTGCCTGCTTGTGTTGCCAGGATTGCAGTCTCTTTTGCCCAGGTGGGAGCTCACATTGATGCCTGCCTTGAGTCATTTGACAGGCAGTCCTCCTGGACTTGGCTTCATTCCCCACTTCCCCTGAGGCTGATTTTGTTCCCTTCCTGGCTTGTCTGCTCTCAGATGCACTAGGAAGTGCTCAAGGTTGTTCTTGGACCTTGAAAGGAGTTGACTATCTATGGTGCAAAGCTTGCATGAAGCTACTGAGACATTTGTTTTTGCAACAAATCTAGTGGATTACTTGTTTAACTGGAAATAGAAAAAAAAATATCTCTCCCCACACCCAAATATCACTATTGTAATTACAATTAAAAATATTTGATAGTTGTATTATCAGTATTACAAATTTCCCCTCTCTCTAATGTCCTCCTGATTATGAGGAGAGTCTTGAGTTTTAAAAAAGTTTTGCTACATGAGGCTGTGCCACAGACCCATGTTATTTGAGCAATCCACCTCTTGAGCGTGGCTGGAAGTGGCCACATCAAAGGAAGACATAGAGACCCTGTGGCAGGCAGCTACAGGGTAACTCGCTGTGGCAAAGGGTTTTCCCCTAACCCCATCAACTGAACCTTCAGCATCCTAAGAGTTTATAGCCCTTCCAAAAACTCTTTAAAAGTAAAACCCCTGTGACTGTAACCCTCCCATGCATAACAGCTCCTTTTGCTGAGCCCAGCTCAACTTTTGCCCTCTGTGATATCTTGTTCCACCGGATCATTGTCGGTTGTGTAAACATGTGTTTCTTTTCATCAGTGTTAAGTGTTCTGCCTCTCAGCTCCCCTATCCTTCTCTATGTCCTGGTATCTCTGGATGGGGTGAATACCCATGCCCAGATCACCTCTTTTTTTCTGCTGCCTGACTTTCCACTTGACAGTCCTTTTGCTGAAACTCAGCTCAGTGTCAGGAGAAAGGTTTAGCTGGGTCATGTTAGTGTGGGTGTCCGAGCCAAGAGCACTTTGCCTGTATTCTGTACATGTATATGAAGAGATGCTGCAGGCTCCTCTGACTATGATCAGCTGTTATTTCCTTTTTATCTGTGTCAGTGTGGAACATATTAAAATTTCTCAGTAGTGGTATGTAAGGAATCCCTCTGATGCCCCACCTCTAACTTAGCAGAACAATAAAAGCAAGGTTGTAGTAAGCCTTTGAGCAGCTGCCTGTCTATATATTCCTTCTTTTTTCACATCATCTAATTCAGACTATTATCCGGGTAGCAGTGGCACTACCACTTCCAGACACCATCAGTCCTTGTCCTGTTTGTTGGAATTCCGTTGTGTGGCATGGAGATCTTTTCTACCACAGGCAAGCGTAGCCTCTCTTCTGGTGTCAGGGCAGGGGGCTGCTGGTGCCATGGAGACACTGGTCCTAGGAATTCCTCCTCATCGCTATTTTTCAGCTTCCCTTTGTTAGTTTTCTTTTTGCATCAATCATTGTTACGGCTCACACTTGTCACATTTACGTGCTCATTATTACTGAGCTGCAGACTGTGTGAGCCCAGCAGCATGGAGGCAGCACAGGTTATGTTGCCCTTTAAGAGGCGAGTTGAGGATCTGAGTTAATGCCTCAGCTCTGGTTTGGCAAAGGTTAAGCATACCATGGCAGTGACAATCACATTACTGTCATAGCAGCACGGCTCAAAGGGAGTGGGACCTAGGGGAACACTGCTCCCCTTGTTAGAAGACATAAAATTGTTACCATGAGCCAAATATTTAGGTTCCCTAATTATTAGAAGTATAGGGATGGTGGTCTGAATTTTGCCCGTGTATAAAAGAAGAAAGGATTTTGCCCCAAACATCAGAAAAGAGGGAACATCTCCTTCCATCATGTGCTGTCTCCGGAATGCCTAGCACTCTGCTGGTCCCAGTGGCAGGGATGTCTTTGCTTAATATTAAAGAATAAGAAACTCATTCCTAACTCTGCATCTACTGATAATTACAGCCTTTGAGTTCTCTGTGAGATATGCAAAAACCAGGGAACAAAACCCACCCACCTGCTTTCAACACACTCCAACAAGTAGAGGACACATGCCTGAATGCCCTAGACCTCTCTCAGCAACTTGTAATTTGGCCAAGAGTCATTTTGCCTCATGTTGGGTCATAAGACTAAAGTAGAGGTAATTACTGAAGCAAATCCTATAGCTAATGCCTGGCTGGGAACATTTGCACTGCAGCCAGCAGCCGCCCTTGCTGGTTTGCCTCCTGGGAGGGATGGGCACCCTTACTTGGACACCTCGGCACTGTGCCTGGTGCTTCACCAAGGAGTGATGGCATCCAGAACTCTCTGGATGACCAAGTGGAAAACTGTATTCCTCTCCTGTCCCAGACTCAAGACCATGACTACTCTGATATTCAGCAAGACACAAGAAGAAAGAAAGAACCCAAGGCTGGCATCACCTCACCATTAAATGGCTCTACTGGCTCATTAGAGAGATATCCCATGCATGCCCCTAATCAATCTATTTAAAGTTTCCTGGAAGCAGGAAAAGGAAAGAATAAAAATACAAGCACTCTTTTGTCCCCCAGTAGTTATTCTTTGTGAGTGCATTAAATCCTTTTCTCTGTGTTGGCCTGTGCCTGTCTGCTGGCCAGGTGCCAGCTTGCAGTACCCACTAGGGTTTGTTATTTCAACCGCCTAGCAGGAAGGCACGGTTAGCTCCCCCTCTCCCACCTACCCAAAGGGCTGGAAATACTCTTGGAAACTTCAAAAGGAGAGGGAAGCTCGGCCCAGCTCAAGTGCTGTTCAGATGAATTTGTTCCATCTCATGCACCAGGTCCCCACGATGTGAACACTTATGGGGGCCTTACACGAGCTGCCCCGTCAAAGCCCAAGGAACCAGTCCCATGAGTGCCTATCCCATGCATTCTGATGCTCCCAGCAATAACTATGTTGTTTCTTATGCTTCAAATGCCATGGTCTTCCTATTTTTCTTTTTTCAATCTGCTTACAGTCACAGGTACTCATCTCCTGAAATATTAAAGTACTTAAGGAAGCCTCACAGCAGAAAATGATTTGCAGGAGTTTCTCTCATCTACCAGATCAGTGTTTGACATTCTGACTGTCCCTTTTATCTTCTTGGGCTTTGCAGGACAATGTCACAAAGTCACAGAGTATTCTGAGTTGGAAGGGACTCACAAAGATCATTGAGTCCAACTCTTAAGTGAATGGCCTCTATGGGGATCAAATCCATGACTTTGGCATTATTAGCACCATGTATTGTCAGCAGTCAGATGGTAGGACAGCACAACCTCAGTAGAACCAGAAGATGGGCTTTCCCTCTGTGGACATCCAGAAGAAGACATTTAAGTCCTTTTTTTTTGAGCCTGTTTTCCTTCCTGCTCCCTTTTCCCTTCCCCTCTCCTCTTGCCCACCAGCTGCTGCCAGCTCTGTCCAGGAGTTCATGTGGTTGGTGTTCTCCCCTTGAAGGCACACACTGCCCTGCAACCTGCCGTGTGAGGGATGGATGGAGCTCCTGTACAATGGGTGAAGATATTCCCCTTGGCGTCAAAGGGGACAAGCTTCAGCACAGCTGGATGTCAGTTGAGCAAACCCTCTTCGGCTTAGCAAGACCTTGGGTGAACATTCACTTATTTAGACCTGTAAGGATCTCACTCAAAATATTTTGTTTGGTATTTGCCCTGCCTCAGCATTGGAAGAAACCTGTTCAAATGCTGCATGTGGAGGCATTTCCCAAACAACTGGAGTTCCCTGTGTTCACCTTCTGCTGCCCAGCTGCCACATGGCCACTCAGTGACTTTGCCAGGTGTTTTGGCAGACAGCTTGCAGAGGGGAGAGAGGATTTTGATAGCCTATATGGGAGGCCAGCTCCTTCCCTGCTGTAACAGAAATGACCACAGTAAAATAACTAGATAAAAAGATTACTGCATTTATTTACTGAGCTAAAAGATACCTTGGAGCTGAAAAAGACTCTGAGTTGATTCAGCAGAAAGCGGGATCAGACACAGCATCTCATTTTGGGTTGTCTCTCGTGCTGCATAAACTGTTCTCTTAAATGACTCGGATTGTCACTTGTACCATTTAGTTTCACAGCACACAGTGCTTCCCAGGCAGTTCCCAGGCATTGTGCCGGTGGTTGTGTGGGCTGGAAGCCGAGTGCTGTGGATGCTGAAGGATCTCTGGGAGTAGACCAAGCCACCCTTGTCATGGCAGTGGAGAATTTAACCCTGAAGAACAAACCTGGTATAGCCTGACTGCAGTTTGCCCAACACAATTGTTCCCTCTCCAGTCCAGACCTTCAACCATGAAGCCCCCAAATCCTCATCTTTCTGGTCTAAACTTTTCCAGATTAGATAAAGCTCTTGAGAAATCTCTTCTGGTCTCATGAAGGACTTTGTGGCTTATTTTTGTCAGAACAGCAGCAGTGAATTGCACATGCACACACACACACACACACACATATACACATATATGGTTAGTGACACTTTTTCAGGGCTGGAGTTTGGAGAAACTGAGTAGTCTTGTAACTCTTCTGTTTACATAACAAATTCAGAATGAGGGAACCACATGGTAGGACCCAAGTAATTGTGTTTACTAAATATGCACAGCATGCAAGGCCAGGCTTAAGTTATATATACACACCGCTGCTTCAACGGGATTTTGGCAGCCTCCAAAGCATAAAAAGCATTGAGTGACTTGAACTGTACCCCCATGGTCAAGCAGAAGTCTTGAACATAGAAAATGCACAGCAAATGAAGGCCAAGCTGAACGTACATTTATGCCTAAATCAGGGGGCTCAGGAGCAGGGAACAGCCAAGTAGAAGTACACTGTAAAAGAGCTTTTCCATTGCTCTCTTTCTACCTTCCGGGGTAAAAATGGTACAGATTCAGTAGACCTTTGGAGAATTGCTCAGCCCTTTATTTTTTCCAAGATACATAGCAAAAAGGGAATTTCTGTTTACGTTCTCACAAAGTGACTGGCTAAATAATTCCAGATGATGGAATTTTCTTCTGTCCTTAAAGCAAAACAAAACCTTAACCTTCACCACTCTCTAAATGATATTAAGACTATGGTAAAAAATCTTTATTTCAGCATTCAGAAAGCAGTTAACAAGAACAGAGAGTTGGAAAAATAACCCTAACTCTGCCCCTATGTCCATGTGCAATACAGGCTTGAATTGTATGTTAATAAGGTCTTTCTTTGGGATGCTTTCTATTTTTCCCTTAAGTTTTTAGGTAACAGCTGTAGCAGTTTTGGGTAACAGCTGTAACAGCTTTTAGTATGTTATGCCTCTGTGAATTCCTGCAAACTAGTTATATAGAAAGGGAACTATAAGCCTATTACTAACAAAATGTACTGCCCATATTGGTGAATTCTGAAAAAAATGTGAAGTAGTGATTTTCATCCACTGTTAGGCCAAATATTTTTGGAGACAATTTTCAGCCTGAGAACATGAAGTCACCTTTTAATCTTTTTCTTTACAGAATGCTGTAAAGAGGAAGCATTTTACCTTCCTTTTCGTTAGCTTGGCAGATGGGCTGTCTACCACAGTTTTTACATGAAAAGAAACTGAGGCAAACACAACTGAAACAGAAGAAAAAATTTTTTCTATGTGAAATTGTGGATCTTAATAAAAAATTATATTTTCCAAATGAAACAAAATGTCATCGATTATGATGATTAATGATTACAGGTGTACTTCCTTCTGGTTTTAGACAGAAAATAGGCTGGAAACCTCATATGTCAATCCCGATATCATGTGCTGTCTAGGATTTTGTAATTTCAGCATTTCAAAAGGAACACAATCTTTAACTTTAAAAAAAAAAGAAGCTAAGTTCAGGTGAAATGCCATTGCACAATATCAGCTGGATATGGAAAATGTCACGCCAACATATCTCATCATGGTGATGCACCCGTGTGAAAGTGTTTATACTTTTTTTACAGAATCAAAAATCTACACTCTAACTTCTGTATTTTTAAATATCCCTCTAGGAATTTTTCTTCCATATATATTATGCATGGCATATGTACTTGAGAAATGTATGTGCATATTTCCCATAGGTATGTCAGGAGATACACCTACACACTCGTTTTGCCAGTGTGTCTATCCACAACTGTACACAGCTTTTTCACAGAAGGTAGATCACATTTACATCTGTTTTCTCTCTCTCTCTTTTTTTTTTTTAATAAATATGTGATAACAGTAGTTTTTTTTCCTCTTTCAAACTATTGTTGCCAAAGCCTGCTACATTTCTTTGCTAGAGAAGTATCAGGGCAATTTTAAAAGACTGTGAAAGTGTTAATACTTTTTGTTCTGTGCTTATCCTGAAGAAGGTACAGCCATCTTCCTTTTCTCACACTTTTCCCTGTGTCTTTACAGCTTTCTCACAATGTTTTCATGAGGCAAACTCTGTGTCATCCAATTATTTCCTGAAGAAAACTAGAGTGATAAGCCTTTGAAAACTGAGCCAGGACTTCAGATTTCTCTCACTGTATTAAATCATACTGATCAAAAACATGGAAAGATATAGAAGCACAAAATTAACAGTGGGACAGAGAGAATGGGAAATGAGGATCCCTGGATGTAATAACACGAGATGAGAGCATCTAATATCAAGTAAATTTATTTGGACAGAGAGGGAATTACTGGGTGTGTAATACTGATTAACTATGTTGGAGAGAGACCTTGCCAAGCAGCATGTTTTGGTCAGCCTCTTTATAAAAAAGAATAGGAATGTAGGTAAAAGGTTAAACACAGAGGAAAAAAAAATTGCATCACTCCTCCTGTTAGATAATCCTTGGGCATCATCTGCATGAACTAGAGTAGAACAGCTCACTTCTGGGAGGGATTCTGTCCCAGCTCCCATGACCGAGAGATTTCTGCCTTACCCTGTAAAAATGTTTGGAGGGATATTTATTGACATGAATGGGACTGTGCATAAATGTATCTGAGATCCTAAGTGTTTTGTGTTGTTTGTTTAAGTTCTTTATAGCAGAAAGACATAGCATTTTTTTTTAATGTCACATTTGCTGAGGAAAATACACTGGGTCATATGTCAGACTCAGGGGAAAAAATATACTGTCATTTAAATCTACAGTCCCATAATTTTTCCTTTCCTACTTAAGCACATGGATAACAATTTGAAACAACAACAACAAAAGTGTCCAATACACAGAGCATCCCTAGTAACATTTATTCCCAGCATGAGGCTTTGTATGTCACGTCAGCGCCATCCCAACTTGGATGAACTCTGGAAGCGTTTGTCACTGCTATGCACTCCTCTCACAGAAGTGTTTGAGCAAGCTATAAAGCAATACAAATCATCAAGCACTCTGGTGGGGAGGCCCCGTCGATTCGGGACGTTTGGGAGATCACTATCAGTCGGTTTAGAGGATTGCCAACAAACAGTTTTGAAAGAGGCTTGTGTAAGGCAATAAAGGCACACATCAGATCTTTAAATACTCAAGGGGTTCTGTGGGAGCATTTCTTCAGGAGCAGGGAACTGTTTTATCTTAAGTTTCTTCAGAAAGTCCTTGCACTTTTAAGCTGTGCTTGTGAGTATGTTTTGACTGTCCTTCACCGGGCTGTATTTAGATGGGTAATTCACAACTCTTTCAATCTTCGCTTGCGAAGACTGGCCATACATCAAGCTATAGCTCTTTGTAGTAAAAGTGAAATTAAATCACCCAGTCGAGACTAAGGGCTTTGGGAAAAGGATCAAGGGGTTGTGAAGAAGAGCTGAGGGACATGCCCTCCTTCCCCTGCTGGTACAAAGCTCTGGGCAGCATTTCAGGGGCTGTCCTGCACTTATTTCCTGGGGAATCTCCTGGTCTCCAAAATGCACCAAAAATCCAGATACCTAGTAGATAGCCACATGACTTCACCTAAATATATTTTTTCCCCATTGATGGCTGGGATATACTTAGATATTATGAAATAATACATGTATTTTTCAGATGCTGCGTTTTAATTGATGTGGAAGAGATTGACACTGAACAAGTGCTGCCTGACAAGTAAGCAGGTAAAGCACGTCCACCCATGTGCACGTGAGTTTGGAACTCGGGAGGGCAGGACAGCCAGCAACCTAGTTCTTCCTGCAGTGCAGGTCCATGCTCAGCAAGTTTCCTGGGGGACACTTTGGTTATGCCTGGGCTTGGACCTTCAGCATCCCTTCATCCTGGGTGTGTCCCTTGTCCCTGCAGCACAGAAGCTGCAGGATAGTGACAGTCAGCCCCTAGACCCACAGCTCAACCTGCCTCCAGCCTTTTCATGTGCTACCTAGGCCATGAATTCCCATCTGTAATGCAGGAGGCAGCCTAGCTTTGCCCCTCTTTGACACTTTTAGTGGTTACACAGTCCTTTCAGTCTGCAGAAATCTCCGATGTGTTACTATTCACCAGTTTTGAGGGGAACACACCAGGGACATCACCAAGTGAAAAAGATTGGCATTGAATTACTTGTGATGTTAAAAGTCAAAAGGTTTTCCCCAGTGAAAGGATAGACCAATGCTAAAACTAACAAGGCCTTGACATCTCCTTCCTAATGCCATATTCTCTACCTACTATGGGAACAATGATCACTCAGAGCATATATTTTGGGTAGCAAAGGTCCTGTGTGCCTTAATATTATTTATGTCTATTTTCCTCCAGCGGTCTTTTTGGTCAGGGTTGTGATTTATGCTGCTTTTATCCCAGCTGGGCAGAGAGATCCTTTGATGGATTACAATCTCGGCAAACTCCAACGCGAGAAGAAGAATGACAGCTAAGACACTTAAACCAGACTTTTCACCATCCTGGAAAGGAACTGGCTTCCAGGATTTGGAGTTTTTTTAATGCTCTACCTCCCTCTGCTGTTACCAGCGAGAAGTTCCTCGACAATGGGAAATCATGTACTCGCGGCTTCGATTTCCATGCTCTCGCTCCTGGCGATGATGGGAGACACGGACAGTAAAACAGACAGTTCCTTCATGATCGACTCCGACCCCAGCCGCTGTATGAGGCACCACTACGTCGACTCCATCACCCACCCCCTCTACAAGTGTAGCTCCAAGGTAAGGCTTTCCCTCACCTCCTTGCAGCAGCTGCATCAGAGGGGTTGTTAAAATGAACCATTCTGGGTCGTTTTCTCTGCATAAATTCCTATCCACCAAAATCTAGGTTTCAGAGACTTAGGGATGCGGACACATCTTGTGTGCACATGAGAACTGGGACTCTCTTTTCACCTTTTCAAAAGGAGGAACACGCCACACATGCAGTAAATGCTAAGATTCAACGGGGTCTATGGATGAACGCTAAGGATTCATTTGGGGTCTCAGCTGAGGGTGCCAAGGAGACAGGCTAGTTTGGAAGTTTAGATCATCCCAATCACCCCCTCCTTCAAATGAGTCTTTAATCTGGAGCATGTAAATTTGTAACTTCAGAGGTGAAGCACTGAGATAAAGAACCAAGCTGCAAAATGGTAGCTAACAAAGACTGTGAAGAACATTGCTTATTTCCTCCCTGCCTCCCACTTAACTTCAAGGCCTTTATTTTCGTGCAGAATGACACTTGGGTGTTTACTGTAGGGCTTAGGAGCAGACAGAAATACAAAATTGCCTTTCATTTGGGATTTCAAGCCGGAAAAGTTTTGTGTCAAAACGGTTTACAAGCCTGTGCATGTAGCCTACAGCCATTTATTTCATTGCATGGAGAAGAAGAATGGGGGGAAACAATGGGAAAATCCTTGCTGGTCCCTTTTGTCCTGTCCTAATTTGTTCCATCTGGGTTAATACAGTCTGTACATTCAGGGAATAACTGCCAGAGCCAATGCTTCTGCCAGCCCTGTGCTGGGCAAGAGAGTGATGAGAGGCAGATATGCGACAGGGTTTAGGACAAGAGGGGTGCCTGCCATGTTGCCTGATGGAAAACTCCAGCAGCAGGGATCCTGGGAGCATTAACAAGGAGAAAGGATGCAAGCAGTTGAGATGGATGCAGTGCTGGCTGCAGACACCCCCGGATGCTTTGTGTGCAGAACAAGGCACGTTGCTTCCCATGGTTGGTGCTGGGGTGAGGCAACAGCATAGGCAGCAGCAGATCATAAAACTTAAAACGAAGCACAGAGAGAAGTGTCAACAGAAAATACGACCTGCTCGGTGCTCTGTGCCCCACCCTGTGCACCAGGACAGCTGCTGCCCTGGCCATGCTCTTTCAGCCAGGCTTTTCCTGTGCCTGCTCACCAGAGAGGCCTCAAAACTGGGCAGAGGGAAAAGCCCTGCTCTGGGCTGCCTTGCAGTGATCTCTCAGCAGTGCCATCTGCCTCACTTTGCCTGATTCACAGCAGTAGGAACCCATAGATTTTTGCCCTGCTGCTTCCAAATCCAAACTGTAAAATCATGCACTACTTGTGATTCAGGAGAGGTCGATTTGCTTTTAGCTCAGACTAGATCTTCTTACCATCTGGGAAACATCCAGCTTTAACACACAGGACTGCAGAGGTGCGTCTGTTTGTGCAATATTGTGCGTATTGTTTGTGCAGTTGGCTCCAACAAGAGGCAAAGCTGATAAGTGTAGGTATGTGGGTGGGTTTTACTTAATGGTATATGGGTGCTCCAAGTCCTCCCTTCTCTGACCACTTCAGATCACCAGCTAGACCTGAGGACCCTCAGCTATCCTGGTGGTTTTGTCCAGGAGGGCAATGCTCCACCCAGCTGCCTTCACCCTCCACTCCCTTCTCTGCCAGAGTCCAACAAAGGCTTTTGCTCCTCATCTGGTTGTCCTGGTGAAGGCTTTTAGGATAGTTGTATTAGGTGGGGTCTGCTCCCTAGTCCGTGAGTTCAGGAGCTTTGATCTGTTCAGGACTCTGTCAATGTGCTGCCTGGTGGCTGGGATGTGCCACTGGGTCACTGAGTGCCCACCTTCTCTGCTCCAGCATTGCCACCACCATCTTCTGGGTTTTTCTTAAAACTCTGTCTGCCACAGATGACAGATAGAGGGTTAGATGGAAATGAGAATACAGAATGCATTGTAATGAAAACCATATTATTTCAAAACTGAACTTTGAGAAAAAGAGCTGTTGACATAAACATTTGCAATTCTGGCTGAAAAAGTTGGTGATTTTTTTAAATCAAGCCTTTAATGGAAATTATGTTTGAAAATATTATCACATCTTTTGGCTTCCCAAATTCCACAATGGTTTCAAGAACATTTTTTTAACAATACTGCAAGTTGTGTGGACTTTCTCATGAAGTAGAAAATGAAAACAGTTTCCATAAAAAGTGAAATAATTTTGACATTTCCTAGAAGACTCTATTAGATTAAGCTCTTTTTTTTAAGGTCTCAGGGATCTGAATCATCCTGGTAGACATATGACTTCTGTTCTGGATCTAGCATATAAACACAGATGAATATTAGACTTGTTAATGAAAACTAGATGCAATGTCTGTTCACATATATATATAGAGAGAGAGTGATAAAATATAAACAAGTAAAAAACTGGAAGGTTCTGTGGGAGTAGCTGTGGGAATTGTGGTACTTCTTGTTTTCACCAAGTTTCCATTGTGAAGCTTGGGCTGACAATGTCAAGCAGAGACTTTGCCCTTTTTAGGGGTGATATACTATTTTCACTGAGACATCCTTTTTTACTTCTTATGTTTTTCCTCTCAGTGCAGCATAGAATTACAGAAGACAAAAATTACCTCAGAAATTGCAAGATATATTATATTTGCTGTCCATCCTGATTAAAAAGGATTATGTCCACTGTGCTTCTCTGTGGAGGCTGCCAATAGTATCCACATGGGAAGCGGTTTTGTTAAACATCCAGCCAATATAATTTAATCATTAAAATCCCTTTTGCTTGTGGCCTCAGGCAGGTGATGAAATCAGTTTTCCAAAGCCTTCAGAAACATGGTCCATTACAGTATAAAAGAGACACAAAAGAGGGATGGAAGAAGGCCATTTGTTCCTGAAAAACAGCGTTTTCCTTTGACTTCAAGGAAATGTTTGTATCAGTTCATGAGGTATTGTCTTTCCTGACCGTATTGGATTCTGCCTGACCTCTGTCACAGAGACCCACTGGTCTTCATCCATGTGCTGGATTGGCTCTCTGCTGCAACCAGAGCCTCCTAAATTACAGTTTTGGCTGTCACAAGTGCTTTGTCCAGATGTGCCAGAAGTGTGCTACCACTGACAGCCTTGCACTAAAGAATCCAGCCCAGAGAGACACAGACCAGATGAAGAGAGATTTAGCAGATGTTTGAAGACTCATGAGGTAGCTCAGGAGATTTTCAGTAATGCCTGCTTGCAGCCAGGCCATGGATACAGCGTGAAAATCTGTTCTCATGAGCCTCAGCCCATCTGCTGTTGCTGAAGACTGAAGAAAAGAGGACCACAAACACCATTAATAACAAACCAGTTCACAGCTTCTGGATTTCCAGAATACAGCTCAAATGATCAGAATCAAATATTACCTCAGTTTGTCCTCTTTTGTACCTATGAGATTGTTGACTTTAAGTAAGAAAACCTATTCTTCCATGGCTGCTCATAGATCCGTGTGGTCCCCTTGTTGTAGGACTCTGTTCTTCTGGATCCAGCATCACAAGGTGACACACAAAAGCTCACATGTGCAGGGGATGAGGGGAGCCAAGAGGCACATGTATCAGGTTATAAAATACAAATACCCACATGTTTTTACTATATATACACCCTCTGTATTACTGTGCTATGCCACTACAGCATTACTAATTATTTAGGTGATAATCTCTATTGCACTGTAGTACACCATGCAATAAGCAGCTGGTGCAATTGATTAAATGGCAAAGCAAAGCTTTTAAAGTACATGCTATTTCCAGCTCATTTGCACACCTGCCAGAATCCACTGGTGCTGTTCTGGATTTATGAGGAGGAGAAGGTTAAATTTTGCTGAGGACTTCAGGTTAGCCCAGAGGGTTAGAAAGCTATAAAAATGGGAATTTTGGATTTTTTTAATCCTGCACTTGATACCCTGGGTGCTGTGCCATTTGTAAGAGTTTACACTGTCATCCAGAAACAGGGCATAAACCCAACTCTGTAATGTTACATTATATGAATACTGACCATCACCTTACAAAAAACTAAACAGCCAGCAAAATTTGAGATTAAAATTAGAGCCTCTGCAGACTAAGACAAGTTTTTAAAGGCAAGGCTTGCTAAGCAATTATAAATGCAGTGGCACATTGAATAAATATTGGCTGGGTTTGCATTAGGAAAGCAGCTGTTTATGAGAAATGTATTGAGACGCAGATATGGACACATCAGATAATTCTACCCTATAATTACACTGCTACAAATTTCTGTAGCCCTTCATTCTGTTTCTTGGGGATTTGTTTTTTTCCCCCTGGCATTTCTGAAAATACCTGCAGATACAGGAGCAGATGTGTGCCATGAAAAGCCCTCAAGGTAGCAGTACCAGAAGAGGCTGGCTGTTCCAGCTCCAGAAGCATTGGTCATTAGAAGTGACCTCGGCCACACTGTCGTATTTGCCTGCTCTGTTGCCTTTGCAACCTTCGAGCATTTCTCAGTTGCCATTGGATTGCTCTTCACCCTCCTCTTCAGCCAAATCCTTGGGAATAGCCTGTGACAGAGGTCTGGTGAACTGGTCAAAGCAGGAGACCTAACAAGAGCTGTCATGATGCTAGAAAGGAAACCAGCTGGTTTAAATGTCCTAATCTGCTGCCTTTCCTTTGCAAGGCAGGTATCTAACGTGCAGCTGGTATCTAATGAAATACCCTCAGCAGCTGTCTGCCTGGGAAGTGAGTTTTGTTTACCAAGGGGAAATAAATGGATTTTTATCTGACATTAATGGGGTGCTAGCACTTTAAGGACTGTCTGTTCCCCTGTTCTCTATACTCTAAAGACACTGGTGTTAAGGAGCTTGACATAGCTAAAGCTTGGGTGTGACTCAACATTTCACTGAAATTTCCTTCCCACAATATTACTAGTAACAGCTGCAGTTAATTTGTCTATGAATATGGACAGTATCACAGGAAGGAGATCATAAATTTATGCTATAAATCATAAAGGATGGCAAAATTGTCACAGAGCAACAAGAACCCATCTCTTAATTTAACCAAGAAACAAGATGGTACCAACCACAGATCATCAGCTCATGAAGACATATTCCTTGTGATTTCTCTGTGTTGACTACAACTGTAGTTGTTAATATATGAATACATTTCTAAGCAAACCATTTAGTATGCAAGTTCCCTTGGAAGAGTAATTTTTAAGCACTGTACAGTGGATGATCAGAGCCTTTCCCATGGACACAGACAGAGCTGGCATTTCCTGCTTGGTATCAGGAAAATTCTCTTTCTCTTTCTATCCTGTCTTTCCTTATGACTCTGACTAAAGAGAAAATCTAACACTTGACATACCTGCTTGCATGACTTGGAGATCTGCAGTCAGTTGAACATGTGTAGTGAAAGAGGCCCAAAAGGGTTTAAGGCTGTAAAATATTTGCTGTCACATCTGTAGTTATCATTTCAGATATTCTGGAAAAAAACATGAGATATGTGCAGCGTGGTTAAAAGGTAATGTTCTTCCTTAATTATAGGAAAGACAACTGTTTCACTGCCTACTTTGGATGATATAATAAGCTGATTTTGATGTTTATGTTGGTTAAGCAGAATTAGCTGATATGGACTTAATATTTCTGTCCCCATGAAAGTGTAAGGGTTTGTTCAAGCTTGTACAACACTTATCCATTATCAGGGTGGTAACAGCTGTTTCTAACACATAACTTCCTGAGCTTCAGAGGATCCTCTCCAAGATTTATATAGTGCTTAGTGCTCTATCCATCTCCTCTGCTCAACAAGGGGTTGTTGGGGAGTAGGTGACTGCACATGGACTTTCCTTCCTTGGTGCCTCCTGTCGTGCAAGTTCCCTTGTTATGGTCACAGCTCAGATGGTGAACTCAGAAGGAGAAGAAACATGGGGCCTGCACTGCTTTTGGAAAATCTCACTAAGGAACCCTCATGTTTGGCAACAAGTTCATCTTTTTTTTACATTTGCACTTCCTTATGCCATGCAATGCATTTTATACAGATACAACTGATGCAATTATATAAATATATATGCACATATACAATTGCAAATACATATTCAAGGTGATCTTTGTAAAAGGAGGGAGCTAGAAACTTCTTTAAAGCAATAAACTAAGCATCTTCTTTATATTTCTACTTTATGTTTATATATCTAAGAATTTGAGAAATTTTCCACTAGTATACACACTCAAAATGCTGGAAAAACGAAGTATCAACCTGGCTGATGATTTAAGAGCTTGGCTGACCCAAATCTGGGGTCAGCAAGTCACAGTTGCAGCCACAGCGTCTGGAAAGCAGGGCTGGCTGTGATCATTTGGAGCCCTGAGGTCACTCCAGGTCCCGTTGTCCTCATTGGTGTCAGTGCCAGGGACTCCAGGAGGAGTCCTTGCTTTTCCTCCTGCCCGTGTTATCTCCTCTGCTCTCTCAGCTCAGACCCAAAGCACTGCGTGGGGCTGGGGTGCCCTCACCGGGGTGGTGGGATGCTGTGACAAAAAACCAGCCAGGCTGGAAGAAGGTAGCCATCTGCTGGTGTTCCCTGCGCTCTAGCAGCCGAGAGGGGGCACGTTTCCTAACCCGTGTCTCTTTTCCTTTGCAGATGGTGCTGCTGGCTCGCTGCGAGGGGCGCTGCAGCCAGACATCGCGCTCGGAGCCGCTGGTCTCTTTTAGTGCGGTGCTGAAGCAGCCCTTCCGCTCCACCTGCCACTGCTGCCGCCCCCAGACCTCCAAGCTGAAGGCCATGAGGCTGCGGTGCTCGGGGGGCATGCGGCTCACGGCCACCTACCGCTACATCCTCTCCTGCCACTGCGAGGAGTGCAACTCCTAGGGGCGGGTGCCACAGCAGGGAGGGGACTGGCGTGCTGCCGGTGGGAAAGGCTCCCAAGAAACAATCCAGAGTCAAGCCGATGCTCCCAGCACACGATTGCAGCAAGGACAGGACTAACCAGGCTGGAATGAATCTGAGAGCTGAAGTGTAAAATACCCTGGGGTGCTGGATGGTGGATGCTGGTACCACGGTGTACAAAGGAGAAAGGGCAAGGACTTGTTTTTGAGAAGCCTTTCTTTTTTTCTGAAAGGATATTTTTGAGAATTCTTCTTTTTCAGGCTCAGATCTGACTACAGAGCTTTTACTGCTGGCTATGGGCAGCAGGGGAACAGAGAGGGAGGTCAGCTGGATGACAGCACTGAGCTCTGGAAGCTGATACGTTCAGACAGAGGATGGGCATCAGTTCCCACATACAACCTCTTAACCTATCAATTTATTCTCAGTTTCCTACTTATACTGGCCTTCAAAACAAACTGTGCTGTTGGCAAGGGTCATGTGTTACTGATCTAGCAGCCAAGTGCTGGATGACTTTAACTGTGGTTTAGCAGAAATTATAAATAAACCATTGAAAAGTGAACTGGATCTGAAATGCCATGCTGGGAATATCCAGCCCTAGCCAGCTGAAATGATTATTTGCACCATGTGTCATCAGAGTTCAGTGTTTGAGTGACTCTTGAGAAGTGAAAGGTCATGAGATTCACTATTACCCTCTAAAAGCCTAGAAAGGTGACACATCACATCTGTCACAAAGGCCATTATTCAACCTCTAAAAACTAATAAAATATTAAAATAGCACATACTAAATGGAAACATTTCTTAACTTAACTTAGACATATTTATGTACAGAACCAGAGCCACCAAAATGATGACTAAACCTAGGACTTATTTTCATCTATAGCTCTTAGGCCATTGAGCAAATACTATTTTGCCTTTTAAAGGCAGACAATCCCAAACACAGGGAAATCACACTGATGTCCCTGTAGGAAGTTTAAGGCAGAGTCTGAGTCCCAGTGTTACCCATTCAACGGCAAGGGCTGTGTTTCAATTTACTCAATGATCTGCTGCTACTTGGTGTCCTGTCTGACTCACCATTTGGCTTGGCAGCTGGTCCCTATGCCCACTTGTCCTTTGTGCTCACACAAGGATGTAAGAGGCTGAGGTGGGGTTAGCACAAGCCTACAATCTGTAGGAGAAGCTGTCCTACAGCCAGGACATCAGAGCTGTGGGGTGTTGCAGAGCATGGGTAGCCAGTGGTTCTCTGCAAGAAGCGAGGCCATGAGCTGCTTTCCCCTGCAGGACCATTGCAGAAAGAAATGCCTCGAGGAGCCGGGTGAATTGCAGCGTTCGGTAGGGTATAAGGATCTCAAAATAACAGGGGATCCGAAGTTTGGGAATGGTATTTGGTATTTGCAGAGAAACTCTGTCCCTCCTCCATTAACATGAGATGTTAAGGAAGGTTCATTCACAGTCTCTTGTGTCTGCAAGGAAACAACATAATTGTTCTTGTCTAATACTTCAGTTCTTCTCTTCTTAAATGGCAGCACATCCAGTCAGACAGCAGCATGTCTGTGATGTTCACATAAAACCAACGGAGCCATTGTTTTGACAGAAAGTCATGAAGGTGTTGAGAGCACCTCTGCTGTGTAAGGATTCATGGTCTGTAGCCCCTGCATGCATAGTCCTACAGTTATTCCCTGGGATAGGCTGGATTGGCTCCCATACACAGCAATGACTGGCAGGGCCCCACGGTAAGGACAGGGAGTCCTATCCAAGAATAGGGTTCAGTCCATCTGTTCAACATCATCCAGTTTTTCTGCAGCAAATGCCATATGCAGGAGCTCAAGGATGCACACTGCCATTGCAGGGAACTCCCAAGGCCAGTCCTCCTGTGGTTACATTGGAGTTACTGTGGGTGGTCAGGCAAAAACAAATTCCTTTGCCTCTGCCACCTGGTGGATATGCAGGGGGTGTGAATGCAGAGGTGACAGACACTGGCCTTGCAAGCCAAATCCTGGAGTAGGATGGCAATCAGTAGTGGAAAGGGATGAGAAACAGGTACGACTGCAGACACCAGCTAAAGAGGTTTGTGATTCATGGGAAGGACTGTGTCTTCTGGAGATGGCCTGGAGATGGCCGGTTTTCAATGGCACAGAGCTGTGGGCAAACAAAAGAGTGAATCAAAGTGCTGGAAGCTGAGGGGCTCAGATTAAAATGTCAAACCCAGGACTGATGAGCCCCAGTGAGCTCATTAGACACCGTGCACCGTTTCAGGATTGTCAGTCATTCTTCTCACATCTGATGCATGGTCTGAACATCAAAGGGCGAGCGAAGGGAGCGTGAGCTGGGCATTATCACCAGACTACTTTATATGGAAGATCATATGTGCGTCCCTTTTCCACTCTCTTTCAACCTCCAGCATCTAAAGATCCCATTATCCAAAAAAGCACCACCCCCTACTGTTAATTATATATAGAAAATTCCAGTCCTTATCTGAAACATCAGCAATACCTTTGATAACCAAATAACTGTACTGCAAAATATGCATGACCTCTAAGCAGGGGTATAGAGGCTGCTGCACACAAACAGAGCTATGCAGTTGTCTAAGGAATTGGGAATGTTTGGAGGGTCACTGCTATATCCAGCATCACCTCCCCCCGGGTTGGGCTGCCACTGGTCTCCTCTGCCAGTGCAAAATGAGGAGGCTGTGACATGAAATTTGGGTGCAGTTTGCAGCACTCCTGCATGGCTGCAAATGGCTAGGCTGGCTGGCTGGGACATGGCAGGACAGGATGGCCCTGACTGTGGTCCTCTGGTGAGGAGAGAGGAGGGGGTTGAGCAGAGACCGTGCCTGAGAGATTTAGCAAAAAAGAGAATATTAACAGTGAGAGAAGAGCTTGGCCGGTATTTATTCCCGCATCCCCCTCGCTAACACAGTGCCAAAGCTATATTTGCTCAAATAGGTCTCACAGAAGATATTTGTGTTTCGACAAAAGCTTTTTTTCCCCCTCTCACCCCCACATTCCCTGCACTTCTGCTTGGTTCCTCTAATGAAATCATCACCTTGTGACCTCAAAGGCTATTGCCAGGCATAAATGTTGAGGTGAATTTAGCATTATCTAATTGAACTGCTGAGTTGAATAACTGCATGGAAAGAATAGAACAGAAATTATGAATGACAAGACAAAACATACCTGTAAATAGCTAGAACTTGATATTAAACAATGAATTAAACTTTCAAATTCTCCTTTTGGCTTCGTCAGGCAATCTTCATATTAACATTTAAGAAAAGGAGGAGCTATTCTTCAAAACCAAGTGCACCAAAGTCAGTTATAAAACTATATTTTGACACTTTTTTTTTGGTCAGCATCTTAGGCAACTAAGTGCTGACTGAAGCACACAGGTTCTACCTGAGGTAAAATTCAGGTGGTGTATTGAAGCAAATGAAAATGAGGCTTCGAGTAAAAACTACAGGATCTGGCTCATAGTGAGAAAGAGTCTAAATAGTGATTGGAGATGGATTGGCTTCCTGATTTATTAGTCTGACACCACTCCGGATACTTAAGCTCTGTTTTTCAAGTCACAATACTGTGTAAGTGCTTCTTAAATTGAACAACAGGGAGGACAATGCCCAGGTTTTTTAGATAATGTTTTGGGGCTTTTTCTTTGCTAAAGCATCCTTTTGCTGGCACTTGAATGAGAAGGCTTTGTCCTTTTTTCCCCCCTCACTGCACCTCACCTTTCAGGCACTGCCTTCCCCCACAGAAAGGCTGGTTCAGCTGTGATCATCCTGTGGTTTGCTCAGGATGAGATGTGATACAGACTTTCGACTGTCGCCACCCCATGCCCTCCTTCCTTTTGATTAACTTTCTGAGTCCAGCTTGGCTTTTGAAAACCACCTGTCCCCAGCAGTGGTGGTGTTATATTTCAGCTGGATTGACTGTACTCATGGAGACCAGAGGGAAACACCAGAGCTTTGGTGGGACCCTTTGCTTGTAAGAAAAGCCTTATAATGCCTCCGTAGTTTTTGCCATTCAGAATAATCTGTGATTTGCCTGGACAAAAAAGCCCATGGCCTATCAAATTTTATTTATTCTGCTCCCAGCTTCAGTGGGTTAAGCACTTAAAGCTGCACAGACACAAAACCAGTTTGCTGGTTCAACCTTTATATGGACCACTAAACTGAAGAACTCCTTTCCTGGAGATGTGGCCCCTGACCTTCCTTACAGCACCTCACCCTGCCTGCTGATCTTGAAGAACTCCTGCAAGACAAGGGTTCCCAAGCCTGGCTGTCTCTCAGTGGCCTTTATCAGGGCTTTTGTAAGCTGCTGTCACAGGGCTCAAGCAGTGAAGGAGAGGCCAAATTTGCTGACATCCATGGAGCACCACAGCCTGTGCTGGGCTTTCATATGAGCCTTAGCTGAGACCTGTCCACCAAATCCTTGCAGATTTATCATGAAGCCCTGAAGCTCAGGCAGCACTGTGTAACTTGCAGCCAGAATATTTTTGTGAAAGAGGAGAGAAATAAAAGAGGTTACTGTCCCATAGCAATAGTCTGATGCTCTGCTGCTCTGTGTGTCTAACTTCAGTTCTTAGTCCCTCATGTGAGAAAAGAGAGGCCCCCGAGCTCCCTCCTGTGGGTGTTTTTTCAGTAACTAGTCCAACATGTTTAAAGACAGTAGTTTCTTACTGCAATTGCCTAAAATGGGATTAAACTCTCTAGGAAATGCAGTTCTGCTTGATAAAGAATTTTTCCTCCGACTTGGGCCCTAAGTATTTTCAAAAAATCCAAATGCCATTAAAATAATCAGTGTAAGGGGAGGGGGTGATGCTATGACTTTCTTTGACTCTGGAAGTATTTAAAAGACAAGGGGCTGACAGCCTTCTCAGACAGATTGCATTATAGCTAACAGGCCAGAGGGACCTCTATCTGACACTGTGAGACTGGAAATTTCCCAGGTAGGTGTCTAACTGTATTAGAAATTAAATTTGAAAAATTCACACAAATAATATTGAATACACATTTAAAGTACTTCAGGTATTGAGATGATGTCCTTACTGCCTGCTTTGTTCTTTGAAAATGACATAAAAATGCTTTTTCAGAACTCGAACATTCACAAGGGCAATCGGCCCCACAGCTTTACTGAGGTGCAGTTTGGTACTATTAGAAGTAATAACTCTTGATCCCTGTGTCATATTCCTGGGTACGTATATGCACAAAACAAGGCTCTGTTTCACAGGCATCTCTCTTTAGCCTCATGTCCTTCTACCATTTCCAAAAGCCTGGAGAGAAGCAGAGACCTCTCCTGGACCCTCTCTACCACTCTTAGAAAGCAGCTATTTTCCACCACTGTTTGTAAGATGTACAAAGTTTAGCAAGCAGTTGGCCTGAATCACTCCTCATTCTCCTGAAGGGAGACATCCCAGTAGGTGCCCAAATCCTCCTGAGTCCCTCAGCTGACTGCTCAAATACAGCTCTCTGTGGTCACATCAGGGGTCACTTGTTGGAGCCAAACAAATATTCCAGACATAAAGTTCTATAGCTCCTTGTAGAGAAGGGATCAGGTTGATCCCATACCTAGCTTCATGGCTATGTTTATTCTTTTCATCTGTTCTTTCTATTGGTCTCATTATTAAATTGCAGATGTTCCCAACTCTTGTTTTGATCCCTTTAGAGTATTGACAAAGAGGTTATAGGCACTTTAACAAAATTGTTGTATGGCGTTTAGAAATTATGCCCTTTCTCATCTCTGGAATAATATTTAAAAAGGCAGTTCTCTTCTACAGACTCTAACTGTGGGAAAAATACATCAGAAGATGAAACACAGCAGAGAACATTCAGGGGAAGTAAGACACCATATTCTACACTTTGATGAAATGACAGTAAGAGATTTTCTTTAGCCAAAAAATTTCCCATAATTAATACTTAATTGAATCGACACAGTGAATTCTGAGAGGGATTTTTCAAAGGTGCTTAGTATTGATATTACTCCACTGTCACTCACATGGAAGGAGAGAAATCAGCAACTTCAGTGAGAACAAAGCCTGGCCAGCACCACAGAGCCTCCTGCCTGAGTGTGATGAGGGAGGCAAGGAGGGAAGGATCCATTCCTGCAAAGAACCTGCTCAGGATATTGGAAGTCCTCAGGATGAGATGTTCCCAAGTCAGCTGCCCTTAACTGAGGAAAACACAGAGTTATACTCATTTTCTTCATCCCTTTTGCTTGCCTTACTCACCTACCCTGCACCTCTTAACATGTGGAAACCATCGTGCTGCTGGGATCCCACTGCTAATGTCAGACACATCTCCACATTGTCCAAACATTCCCAGCAATGGAATTTTCAGAACTGGAAATACGACCTGCTGCAGCATGACTGTGCAAAATTTAAAGTGATTCTAATTTTATAAGAGCTAGATATGTTCAAATATTACCACTCCAGGGACCACAGTTACTACTGCCTCACAAATTTCGTTCCCTTTGATGCACAAGAGAGTCCTTGCACTGGGAGAACC